TTAGCCAATGTGAAATACTGGTTAACAAACAAAGTGTTCAAAAATGTTTTACGTTCTAACATTGGCAATGATGGACGTCTGTTAGGAATGCCCACTGGGCTATATAAAGCTTGTAATATAATATCATAAAATAAAATAAAAACAAACTTGGTAAATAATATATAAAAAAATAAATATAAAAACTACAAAATTAAAATAGAAAAATTATACAACTAAACAAATAAGCAAATTGGGTAGATTAGGGTAATTAGAGTACCTTAATCGAAAATTGGAATATTTTCAAAATTAATTATGCTGGGTCCAAAATTTTTGCGAATAAACAATTTCTAGGGATCCCTACTCATAATCCACTCAGATATTTGGGCATCCGAAAATTTTTCTCAAAAACACAGAGATTTTAAAAAGGTAGCAAATGTGCTCATATTACCCAGACCATTTGGTAATATAAGCACTTTAAATTAGCTCAAAAACGTAACATTAAGTAAAAAAAATATCTAACTGACAATTAGAACTAATTTTTTGAATATAATAATTCGTTATTAATAAAACTTATCATTAAAAGATCAAATTTTAAACCGCTTCTTGTTGAAACAATACCGCCATGTTTTCCGTGAAAAAATAAAATTGGTTTGTTACTTTTTTAATTTTTTTAACCTTTGAACGATAAAAATTTAGATTTTTTGAATTTAAATTACAGAAAAATATTTAGTATTGTTAAAATATTAAATTTTTTTACTATGTTTTGTTTTTATTCAAAAAGCAAGTAAAACCACTGCTATTTTAAAATTTTAAACTAGATAATTTTAATGAAAAACACTGGGTAGTTTGAGCATGCTCATATTACACAAAAATAGCATTTTTTAATCAAGTCAAAACTTTATGTTTCTATCCATTGTTTTTCAAACAAAAATAAATTTTATTTTTAGCTAAGATATTTTTCTTTATGAAAAAATTAATTTCATTATTTTAACACCAAAATTTCGCACCACAGATTTATTCAGGTGTGATGATATTATTTTAACACAATTATGTCAAACTATAGACCTATTTATATCTTACCATGCTTCTCTAAATTACTAGAACATATTATGTATGAAAGACTTATTAAATATTTAACCAAAAACAAATTACTGTATAATAAACAATTTAGATTCAAAAAAAAAAAAACATTAAACGAATCATGCAGTAATCGATTTAACAAATTATATATCAGATGGGTTCAATAACGATTGTTATACACTAGGAGTTTTTTATTGATCTGTCAAAAGCATTTGACAAAGTTGACCATGACATACTTATAAAAAAACTAGAACTCTATGGAGTAGTAAACAATAACTTACTCTGGTTTAAAAATTACCTGTCAAACAGGAAACAATACATAGTGTATAAAAAAAATGAAACAGGAAACAAAATTATAACTTGTGGTGTTCCCCAGGGATCCATCTTAGAACCACTTTTATTTTTGTTTTACATTAACGATTTGTATTTACCTTCCAAAACTTTAAATCTTATATTGTTTGCTGACGACTCTAATCTTTTTTACTCAAATAGTAATATAAAAGATCTTTTTAAAATATTTAATGAAGAACTAATAAAAGTTAATGATTGGATCACTTGTAATAAACTTTCATTAAATGTACTGAAAACTAAGTTCTTGTTGTTTCATAAACCTAGTAAGATTGATCACCTCCCTCTTAAATTGCCCGATCTTTTTATAAATAATTCAGTTATTAAAAGAGAATCAAATGTAAACTTCCTGGGAATAATATTAGATGAAAATTTATCATGGAAGTCTCATATAAAATCTATTGAAAATAAAATTTCCAAAAATATTTCTGTTCTATATAGAGTTAAACTATTTCTTAATATCAAGTCTTTAAAAATTATATATTTTTTATTTATCCATAGTTATCTAACCTATTGCAATATTGCATGGGGAAGTAGCAACTATGGAAAGCTTAAAAAAAATCTATAGTAAGGAAAAAATGGCATGCAGAATTATTTTTTGGCGTTAATAGCTAATGAAGAGCCTCTCTTAATGGAACTCAATGCACTCAATGTTTATAAACTTAATATATATCAAGTTATGATGTTCATGTTTAAATCCAAACATGGTTTGTCGTCTAATATATTTCACTCTTACTTTACTAAAATTTCTCATAAGTATCCCACATATCTTTCAAATGATAATTTTGTAGTTCCAATATTCTATTTAAAACTCAGTTCATTCTAAATACAATATCGTGGACCATTTCTATGGAATGAATTTTTCCAAAACATTCTTAAATATAACATACTTAAAAACATCTCTTTTGAACAATTCAAAACAGTATGTAAACGTTTCTTATTAGGAATAAACTTCGATTTAAAATATTTATTTTAAAATTTGACTATAAAATAAATAAACTGAATAGATCTTCACCTTTTTTTTTTTTTTTTTTTTTGAAAAAGTCATTTTATTTACCATTAAATATGCTATGACTGTAAAATTATGCTATTTTAATATCTTATTTTAACTATATAATATCGTTGTAGAAATAAATTTTTGTTTTTTATGTTACTTATTTCTATGTTTTAAGTTGTTAAATTGTAATATTAACTGACAGCTTCTATGTAAACAGGGCTTGGCGATAAGTCAATATGTCTTCTTCTTGCTCCGGCAGTGTATATAAGAGCAAGAAGAAGACAATATGTCTTCTTCTTGCTCTTATATACACTGCGACCATTTTCTATAGACGCATGTAGAATTTAGCGGATTTACAGTGTTACAGTGGTAATAAAATTGTTCTAACGGTACTTTTAAATAAGTATACGTAAGAAAACGATGATCCATTATGCATCTGATTATTAATTGTCTTGATTGTATGAAAATAATTAAATTATTAATATTCACGTGGCAATTTTCTATAGACGCACTAAATTTCGGCATTTGGTTTAGTTCAACTTAATTTCGACTTGTGAGTCGAAATTAAGTTGAACTAAACCAAATGCCGAAAGGAAAGGTCCTTACCGATATTGAAAAAGGTCAAATATTGGCTTAATATCGAGAAAAAGTTCCAAATCGAATTTGGGTTTAAATATTTGCAAGGAGACGATTAGGAAAGTTCTTAAAGACAGCCCACACATTGTACGATCAAAAATGAATAAAGCACCAAGTTTGAAGCCCGTTCACAAACAGAAACGGATGGAATTCGCCCGCGAAAACATGGCACGCGATCGGGAACAAGTAAGAAATTTTAGATTAAATTCTCATGAATACGTAAGATGTCTAAATAGCTGAATATTTTTGTTTTCAACACCAGGTGATTTTTTCGGACGAGAAAAAGTTTAATCTTGATGGGCCTGATGGTTTTAGTGGCTACTGGTGTGATTTGAGGAGAGAACCCAAATATTTTTCAACAAGGAATTTCGGTGGTGGATCTTTGATGGTTTGGCTTGGGTTTTGTGCAACAGGAAAGTCAAATTTAGCATTTACATCTTTCAAAATGAAAAGTTCTGAATACATTGATGTGCTAAAATCATGTTTGATTCCATTTAAAAACAAATATCGATGCAAAAAGTTTGTTTTCCAACAAGACAACGCCAGCACTCACACCAGTAACGAGACTAAAGCTTGGTTTGAAGCTAAAAAAATCGAGCAAATGTGGTGGCCTGCTCGCAGTCCAGATTTAAATTCTGTTGAAAATATCTGGGGAATCATTGTAAGACGTATATATGCTGACCAGAAGCAATATAACTCTGTGGCAGAGCTAAAAGTAGCGGTATCAGAATGCTGGGAGGATATGGAGCCAAAAGTGCTTGAAAACTTGGTGGGAAGTATGCCAAAACGAATTTATCAAGTAATTGAGCGCAAAGGAAGTCCAATCGAGTACTATAAATGTGATAAAAACATTTTTTTTGATAGTTTAGTTAAAAAATGTGAACTGCGTCTATAGAAAATAGTCAGCTATCTTTTGAATTCAATTCATTTATGATTGACCTCTTTTCAAGTTTGATATTATTTTTTGATAATTTTCATTATTAGTTAAGTACGTTTTTCATTACGTTTTTAAGACATAATCCAAACGCGCCTATAGAAAATGGTCGCAGTTTATGTAAAAATACGGCAAAATAGAAAAAAAAAAAAAAAAAAATGATAATAACTACGCAAAAAATTTAACAGCGTTTTAATTAGATGATAGTCGCTGCATATAAAATTACGCTAATTGTGCTGATTTCTATTATCACCACATAAAGTCGATTCAAAAAAATGCAAAGCAACTTTAACTTTACTCTGCTTACATCTAAGAAATCTATAAGTATGCTTGTATAATTTAAAAAAATAAAAAAAATAAGAAAAGAAAAGAAAATAACATTGAAATAATAAAAAAAAAAATTTGGAGATAAAGAAAAAAAAAAAAAAAAAAAAAAAAAAAAAAAGTAGAGGAGGGAGGAGGGGAGGGGGTGAAATCTACCAATATATGGAGATGAACTAACCCTTTGGCAGTTGTTTGGTGCTTTTTTTTTTTTTTTTTTTGTCGTCGGAAGCATAAACTGATTATTTGGTTGTTCGTGCTCTTTGAGTTTTTTTCACAATCTTTTTGACAAACTGGAAATTTACTTGGAAGCTCTGACATATTCATAATTGTACTCATTGATTATATTAAGTGGTATACTTTATATTAAGTGGTTTTAATACTTTATATTATATTAGCGGTAAATAAATGGTTATGTTTCATCAAATAAATAATCAACAATAAAGCAAATAAAGCGGTTATGTTTGACGAAATAAATAATCAGTGAGATTGTGACGTGATATATATTTTGAATTATTATGGACATTTTTGTTTGCACGATTTGTTTGGAATAACTTTAGTGCACGTTTGATGCTTGCTGTAAACATCATAACAGGAAAAAAAAAAGTTCTAATCAAGTTCCTACACCTCGTAAGGCGTAGGAACTTAATTAGAACTTTAATTCTTTTAAGCGTACTAAAGTCTAAGTTTTAAGCGTACTTAAAAGTTGGACGCAGGTTATTAAACAAGGTCTTTCAACAAAACTTCCGAGGTTAAAAACCGTGGCACCACTAAAGGTTTTTAAAAATTGAGGTAACTCAGCTTCAATATTAGCGGCATTAGCATGGGCGGACAACAACAACAACAAATTTTAAAAAGGTAGTATATGATTTAATATACGGTATAATAATAATGATAAGAAAAAACAACAATTATAAAAACATAAAAATTGCAACAGCAACAAATAAATTGAATAATTAGAAATAAGATTTAAAACCAAATTAAGTTTAGATTTTCTTTCTAAATTTGCGAAATATTTATATTTTTAATAATATTTTACATGCATTTAAATTAAATTTTAATGCACGAAACATTAAAAATAAATTTTAATTAATACTTCGCATAGTAGTTTATAAATATATAATTTATAAACTACTATGTTTATAATTATAAATACAAGTTGCTATTTGACAGAATTTTTCCAAACATAAGTTCATGCAGTTGTTGCAATATTTTTCCCCAACTTTTTATTTCGGCAGGATAATTTTTCCAGAACTTTGTGAAATTTCTTTACCTTAAATTTTCTTTTTACATACATTTCAACAAAAGCATTTCATTAATTAAAACTCTTTTTGGCTAATCATTGTTACAACATTCCTAATATTCTTATATCTATTAATGGTAGCATGTTAAATAGTAAAATAGTCAAGGGTTCTTTTACTTTGTCATAAACTTCTTGTTTGAGCCAAATAAGTGATACTGGTAAGGAAGGAGATACACAGAAGAGTGTTTGACTTTCTGGTTAAATACTTTCATGGTGCTTTGTAATATAATCATGATCTTATTGGAGCAAATTATTGATACAAACAAAAAAATATGTATATATAATTAAAAATGCTATATAACACTATCTATTATAAAAAATTTTAGCCTTTTTTTTCCCCACTAGACTCCATCATCACACTTTTTTATAAACCATCCTTATTTGACACAAGTATGCACATATATATTTTTTGAGTTTGCTCTGTGTCTGGAAGTTAGATATCTCAAATGCTAGATACTAAAAGTTTAATCATTGTCTAATTGTCTAATAAAAAGTTTAATGTTTGTCTACATATTTACTGTACAAATAAAAATAAGTTGTTAACTATTAATTTAAAAAATGCCTTCTAGATACTAGTGATAGATACTAATAAAAAACAGTGCTAATTATCTACAAGGTATTTTCTTTGTAATAGTTACTTTATTTCTATTTATACAGATGCTACAATAGTATCTATCTTATAGAACTATTGTTTGTACCACTACCATCAGCTAGTTCAATAAAATGTTTTTCAGGATTAAATCATTTATCAATATATTTTCATTAAAATTAGCTATTTATTAGAATTTTTTTTTATTATCTTCAATTATACTAAGTCAAATATTGTTGTTCTTATATTGATGAATAGCAACACTTACTGACTCCTCTACTTTATGTCTTTTCAGATTATTATTCACTACTTACCTTCTATTGACATCTACTAATGTTATCTTTTTTTTATTGCACTCGTCATATTATTACTCCTGATTTCATTCTTTACCAATATAAATCTCTTATTTGTTCTTGTATGGGAAACTATTGTTGGAATGGTTAATTCAATCAACCCAACAACAGTAACCCAAACATGAACAAATAAGAGGGACTTCTCTTTTTAAGGTTTAAAAATTCAATGTAAATGTTGTTGGACCTGGTGTACATACTTGAACCTCTGTCTGTAATCTAAGGGGTCTTCTATCAAGTACATGGGGTAGTGGTGTAGTGGTAGAGTGCTCGCTTTATAAACGAGTGGTTCTGAGTTCAATTCCCACCACGTCCCTGGTAGTACCGCGCTCAACTCGTTTCTTCGCGCAGCGGCCTTGTTTGTCAAGGTTCGTGTTTTGGAGTTATAAAGTTGAGAGAGGGTTATAACCACAAATAAGTAGCCTCCTCATTTGTAGTGGCCTTCCCGGCTTTGAGGAGGTGAATTAAAAAAAAACATATGCAGGTATGGGAGAAAGGGTTACCCCAAAATGTATAAATGCGTACAATAAAGAGGGGTGTTTAAGATATCAAGTATGTACACAGTTTGAATATCTTGTTTTTTTCATTTCCTTAAACTTCATTTATTTTTTTTAAAACATTGAGTTTCACGAATTTGAAAAATCAATATTTCATTATCATCAAATATTTGCATTGGGGAAAAGGGGGGTGATTTTGTAATTAAAAGCATACAGGCGCCTATTAAGGGAGATGGGTACTTAATCTTTTATTTTACTGCCTACCTTTGGGTGCTTAATTCAAGGAAAGGGGTAGGAATAAAAGGAGGGGTGTGTGTGAGAATTTTAGTCCAAATCTAATAAACAGGGAAGGGGGGGGGGTCTAAATAAAAGGGTATTTTGGAATTTTTTTTACAAAACAGGAATAAACAAATTAATTCAATTGTAGTTTGTGGTCAAATGCACATTTTTTACCAGCTGTTTCATTAAAATTTTAATAGGAATAGAGTATAAAACTTAAAAAATGCTTATTTATTAATAATAGAGTATAAAACTTAAATAATGCTTATTTAAGTTTTATACTCTAGTGAGAAATAACCTAAAAAAAACCCTAAATTTAATACATTTTGCAAATAGAAAATTACGAGATTTTTTAAAGTGATTTTTAAAGTCTAATTACTCTGAAACTTTTTATTCTTATCAGTGTCTGATATATACTTTTTTCAAAGTATATATCAGAAACTGATTTTTTTTTGAAGAATACTTATTCTTTGAAGTTTTTTTTTTGACTTTTTCTGATTCTTTGTTATTAGTTATGAGATTTTTGTTGTTGTTGATAACAAGTAAAAATGATAAAGGAAGGGGAATGGGAAATTTTTACTCTTCAATTTATTTTTCAAATCAAATTAATTATTCAAATTCTAAAAAATCATTTTAATCTTTAACAACTTTATCTACTGTATCATCAGTATCATTTTCGTTTTTATTATTTATTATTATTTTTTTTCAGTATAAAATATTTTTATAACTGCTAGAAATATAAAAACATGGTTTCTCTCTCAAGTTTCAGCATAACAGACACTCCATCGCTCATAACAGCAGCAATATCTTTATCTAAGCAAAGATCAAAGATTTTTAGTTTTTCTGCTAATGTTTCTAGCGTCATTTTTATTGCATAAGCACCTTCATTAGATATTAAAGATTGTATGAATCTTTTGAATTTTCATATAAAATAGCTTATTTTCAAGACTGGTCCATTCATGGACACATTAAACTTTTTCTGAAAAAAATAACTTCTCCCTCAGAAAATGCTAATAGGAAGAATGTTGGGTATCTATTGGGCTTCTTCATCTATCAGCCTTCTTCATCTATAGGAAGAATGTTGTTCTTCATCTATTAGGCTTCTTCATCTATTAGCCTTTTTCATCTATTAGGCTGGCGCAGATGTATATTTAATTCATTGTTTCCAGTTTAGGATGTTGAATGCTAAATATTCTTGACTTGATGCATGGGTTTTGCTTGTGTCTCTGTTTATGACTAGGCAACTCATTCTATTATCTCCTAATGAGGGTGCAGCTCTAAAACTCAGTTTTATGGTTCTGAGGCAGGCTGGTAGTCAGGTTTCCCAAACTCTGTGGTAGCTCTTAGAGAGGCTGATTCCATCAACAGTAGAAAAATATCAAAGTATCAACAGTGCCATGTTGGGCATGGATGGTGTTCCTGTTTATACTTTTGGTGTGCATTGTCAAGGCCACATTGGAGCCCTTTGTTATGGCTTAGGGTTTATTAATAGTAATGAGGCAATTGCTTTAAACAGTGTACTGAGTACTATCTATGCTTTGAAACAAGTTCTTTAACAAATTTAAAAATGAATAAAGTAACAAAAAATATAAAGCACAAAAAACCATTGCCATCACCAAGTTCTCTAAACTTATTGATCACTAATACTTGTAGTCTTTGAAGTAACTTTTCTTCTGTTGAGTCTTATTTTTTGCAAAGTTCACAAGATTTACTTGCTCTTTGTGATACTAATTAAAGTTCAGCTGTCTCATCTTGTGAACTTAGTATTGATGGTTATCTTCATGTAATTCGTAAAGACTCCAATAGTCACATGCATGGCCTGGGCATTTGCATTCGTAAGAATTCACCCATTTGTCGGGAAACTAGGTTTGAATCTACTCTTTTATGTGCTTCCTTTTAGCACCACTTTCTCTTTGTTTTATATCGCTCTCCTTTATCTCAAGTATGCACTCTTCTTGATGTTATTTCTGATCATATTGACCAAACCCTCTCTCTTTATCTATCAACCAATACCAATTGACAAAACCAATTGTTGTTGTCAGTGACTTTAATGTTCATCACACTGAATGGTGACTTTAATGTTCATCACACTTGGTTCTAATTTTAGTGACTCTGCAGGCATTAAAGCCCAAAACTTTTGCCTTTCTTAATCCCTGACTCAAATAGTCAACTTTCCAACTCGCTTTCCAGACAACCTGAATCATTTATCTTCTCTACTGGACTTATGTCTTGTTTCTGATCCTAGTCAGTGCTCAGTTTCTCCACATTTACCCTTAGGTGCCTCTGATCACAATTAGATCACTCTAAAACTATTATCTCATTCTTCTACAACTGCCTTTAAGCTGACTGAGACTCTTTCCGTGATTTTCTTTGTGATGGCCCTTAGGTAGAAATCTTTTTTCTTTCTGTTAACAAATGTGCTTCTTACATAATTTCATGGATTCAGGCTGGCATGGAATCTTCTATTCCCTCTTGACGCTTCCAGGTCAAGTCTCACTCTTCTTTATGGTTTTGCTCACATTGTGCTGCTGCAATTGTCAATCGAAACCATTACTTCCATATCTATCAGCAAAACAATTCTCCTGAAAATAGACCTCTGTTTGTTACTGCTAGAAACCATTGTAAAAAGGTTTTGTCTAATGCCAAAGCCCGCTATTCTCAGGTCATGAAATCTCCTATTTCATTACAAAAATTAGGCTCTCGTGACTTCTGGAGAATCTTTAATAGTATCAATAATTCCACCAATAATTCCTGTAATTCCACCTCTTTTGTACGGTTCAGACTTTATCACCTCACCTAAAGGCAAAGCTGAATTGTTTGCCAAGAACTTTTCATCAATA